GCTACATTAAGCTCAGAGCAAATGTTGTTAGCGCACATACTGGATCACAACGGCCTGAGGATCTTTAATAGCTGAAGCAAACTGAACATGCAATTCCCTTCCTTTTCAATTTGTAAATAGATTCAGAAATTAGTTACCAATTTCAGGGCAGGGAGTGACTATGTGCATAAATAAGGATTATAATGTGTCTTGGTGGAAGAATACATTCTTTCATAAAACGTTCTGCTTTTTTAATGCAGTGTTGCAAATAAAGAGGGGTTTTGTTTAGTCAGTTTTATAGCATGAAATGCATCATACCTTCTGTAAATACTTGAAAATTCCTAGTTAAATAAAGAAGCTGCACAAATACATGCTTCAAGTGCTACAAGCATAATGTTGCTTTCCAAACAAATAGACCATGAGGCATATATAAAAGCAAACAGGTATTATCAGTTCAGAGCCAAAAGGGCATTAACTCTGTGTTAAAGTGTATAGCTCCCTTCTGGCTCCAAACAGATGATATACCGGTATATATATATATATATATATATATATATATTCATATCCATCACCGTTTGAGATTTTACATGTCTACCTTGATTTCAGCACACCACAAGATCCAAACAATGCATTCATCCTATCATCAATACAGCATACCTGCAAGAGTGTGGGTTTCACCACATCATCAACTACCTAGAATCTCAACAATGCAATACAAGAGTGGTATATATCAAACAAAGACATGGAATCCGCTGGATTAAACCAAAATGCACATCATATGCCCAAAGCCTTTCAGATATGTAGCTCAATTATTACCTCAAATCTGATCGGATTCTAATCCAAATCATATCGATGCTTCGTGGAACAAATCAATCCCAAAAAGACGCTTAATCCATCAGCTTTGTAAGAAGGTCAAGCGTATTGATTCTCAAAATAATCGCACAACTTCACGTCTCGATATCCATTATTCGGGCAGTGTTTTCCGTAAAGCATTCCAAGTAGGATCATTCCAGACTCAAAACACAAGGTGCATCAATTTATCTCGATCATCCACTTTGGAATAAAGAATGAATGCATTTCACATACAGATAAGCATATACAATAGAAGGGAATTCCGTGGAAAGGCAAAGTGGGCTGGTCCTTTTACGAAGATCAAACACTTGCGAGTGACAACACACACACACACAATTGACTCCCCAAAAGCAATAGACTTAAAACCCCCCACCAGTTTGCAGGCCTGCTAGGCTTGACATTCAGGCTTTATTACGTCTAACAAGATGAAAATTAATCCAAAATATGTTTGAAAAAGCCCAGACATGGTCCTGTATTGCTCTAGGAGTCTTGTAATATTTAAGCACACATATTTTTCCCCAAGAAGCACTATTTTGATGTACAATTCAATATGATACATTTACTTGTCACTAAACAGGTGTCTGATTTTGAAGAATACTCTTGGGTTGGTAGAATTATATCCCTCAAATCTATTCAATTATGATTTGGTATTCGCTCACATATTAAACCCTAGGGCTCTCAATATGATAGCTAATAACATTGATATATGAGTGAGAGTAAAAGGAATACCTAAAGGTGTTTATGTCTCTCTCTCTCTCTCTCTCTTACTCTTACTCCCTAAATCATTCATGAAAATCATTACAGGATCCAAAGATCTATTTTGAGATGGTTTAATTCATTCATGTTTTGAGGGAAGTGACCAATGCAGACATATATTAACTTGAGCCTACGGCTGAAAAAAGTAATATATCTGCAGCCTGAATACAAATATGGGGCATACAAACATAGAAATGTGCTACCATCAATAAGAGAGGGATAGACAGAAAGAGAGAGGGAGAGAGAGGAGAGAGAGAGGGAGAGAGAGAGAGAGAGAGAGAGATAGAGGTTACTCTCAAAAGACACATACTTTATCACAACATATTACATCATAAAGTCCTATTTCCAATTATGTTTCAATCTGATCAAAAACATAAAAACAAGTTAAACCCATGCCTCACATCTTTCATTCCTGTCACACATTTCTAACATTTAAGGAAAATAAAGTCAGCGGGGTATCTTACAAATTTCAATAATATTGCCAAACAATATCCATACTTATGTTTTACGAGCCTCTTTCAGCCTGTGTGAAACTGACATTCCATCATAAATTATGACAGTTTTTGGTGTCAGAATCAATCAGATCTGTGGTTTGTGTCCTAAATTTTCACAGCAGGCCAAATTATTTTACTGCACTCTTAACCAGGTCATATGGGGAGTGTAACTTTCAAGGCACTGAACTTAAATTGCCCCATAAATGTCTGACTTGAGTTTAATCAAAATGAATACAGAATCAACACCCCTCTGGCTCTCAAAATGCAAAATACAGGTTACTGTGTATAGCTTTACAAATGCACAGTTAATCTGTTTGCACAGTGTGTATTGTGGTCTTTCAAATACTTTAGCTTACTTATCACTCTTTTATCAGTTGTTCAAACACTCTGACTGATATATACTATTATTAACAATAACTTATCATTGTAAGTAAATGATGATTGTATAAATAGGGCAAGCTAGTTTGCTTTACAGTATAATATCAGGTCAAAGTAAGTTCTTGTATTCAATTCTGAAATTTGACATACATATACCAGGGTAACGTAGATACATTGAAGTCTAATACAATAAAATTATATCAAGCAAGTGATTTTTATACCTTGAGATACTGACGTGCAATGCATTTGGAGTTGCAGTCAGAAATTTCTGCTAATTATCCCTCATTCAGTTTTCTCTTTGCTTTTTTCCCCATTTTAATATTCATTGTCTCAATTTCTGACTTGTATTGGCAATATTTTTTGTGTCATTCTTGTAATATTCATCTTAATCTTTTTCCCCGTACCATCTTGGCCCCTCTCTCCTCTTCCTCCTCCTCCTCCTATCTCCTTCTCCACTTCAGTTTTATTCATCCTATACTATGCCCATCTCTAAACATCAAAGTGCCCTGCCTATGAACTGGGCTGCATCCTTCCCCCTATACCAGTCATCATGGCCCCTCTCTCCCCTCCTCCCCTTCTTCTCTCCTTCTCCTTCTCTCCCTCTCCTCCTCCTCCTCCTCTGCCCATCTCTAAACGTCCAAGTGCCCTGCCTATGAACTGGGCTGCATCCTTCCCCCTATACCAGTCATCATGGCCCCTCTATGGTATTCACCAGCCATAAACACATCAACTGCTCTTCCCCATCATATGTCATCTCTAAATCTCTTCAAATGAGCTGTGTCTACATAAAGGTGAACTTCAAGAAAAATAAGTTCACAATTGTTAAATTGTCTCTGAAAATCTTTTTGTAATGCTTGGAGAGTGGTAATATTGATAGTGATAGTGATATTCATACATCCATATTAAATCAAGAATATTTCTTCGTGAAATGTTAAAATTGTCCAATTGTCACATAGAGCTATTACAATTAGACAGATATCATCCGCTAAGAGCCAAAAAGAACTTTGTTGTAGTTCATGAATTAATGCCTAATGGATAAAATACAAAACTAGGAGGTCAGAAGTGGAGCTAAATACTTATGTGCTTGCAATTTGTTATCTTTCAGAACTTTTGATAAGTTTGTACAAGTTGGGAATTTTCTGCAGAGTATTGCTCCCAAAAAATAAACTTATGTATGAGTAGGAAGTTCAAGATGATAATAAATACCCAGTGTGGATAGAGCTATCGTAAATCTCTTGAAATGTTTGTAATGCCATGGACCCAGCCTGTCTCATGCCTGGCCTATATGACATACCTCTAAGAGAGAGATTACTACCAAATCTAGCTTGACTTCAAGGCAAAATGAGTTTTAATTTCTCTGATAGCCTCTGCAATAATGAGTATGATCGAATCAAAAGACTACATACACATGTAGACTATATTTTCACCCCCTCTATTAAACATAAAGACAAGACAAGAACAAGGGCAGATGACACATAATCTCTACACTTGTCCAACAAGGTCTCATTTAAAGTAAAACATAACTTGTTCTGCCTGAACACTAGGCCATGTCCAGGGAAGACTAACAGACTATCGTATATCTAAAATTAAATTTGTGGACATTGCAGTGGAACATAAATCTCATAACAAAATTGGTTGCAGTTCAACTAAACGGGGAGCAGAATGTAATTACTTTGCTACTTGGCATTGTATGTTCCTGAGTTATTATGTATGCAATTATGGCTTGTAAGGCACACACTTTCCTGTGTTAAGATAACTAGGCTTACTTAAAGAACAGTTGGAAACCTTTGCATGCAAATTCAGAAAACCAATAGAAACCTGAAAGAGCATACATTTAATATCTACTTCAACTACCACACATTTCTTGCATTATGTCTTATTCCATCAAAGTCCAATATTGCTATTTTCCTATTCTAGTTACAGCATTTTCATCAAGTTGGGCCAATATTTGTTAGTGATAATGTTACTTGTTCTAGTTATAACTAGATACCATTTGTAACCATGATGTACATGAATTGAATTTATATTTGCAATATGTTCAATAGAATAGCAATATCAACGATTTTCCTTTCATCTTAAAGTGACGATGCAACCAACAAGGCTTTAGTGGTCTGAATTGCATGACTTACTCCCCAGCCATTATTCAGTCATTAGAAACCATGTATTCTAAACACTTTCATGTTCCTGCAACTTATTCTGTTATATAATCATATAAACCTTGAAACAACAATACTTTGGAAAAACCTTTTTGCAAAACTTCACTGCTTCAATCCTTCCATTGAACAAATATAAAGTTCTCTTTGCTCTACATGACTCAAGACAAATCAGTCCCTCACATCATATATATTTCTCAACTCCAGATGGCAGCAGATAACTTACCAGTCCAAACATAATTGAGGATCCTAGACTTTGCTCTATGTCAGGAACATTCACCACAAGGGAAGGCAATTTGTATTGTATTATTATGATTGGGAGAAACAAACTTAAGTACATTTCTTTTTTGTAAAATGTTATTTCTACCGCATGAATGACATTTAAAGACTTGTTTATTTGATTTGTGAGCTGGTTTGTTTGTGATTTTCAGATTTTGTTTCTGCTTAATAGCTAGTATAACTGAAGCTCAAATGATGTGAAAATGTTTTGAATAGGAAGGTTAATGTTAGTCCTAGGCTTTTTCTATCACTTATAAACCGGTATCTGTTTTCATATATTCATGAAACACATTTTAATTCAAACCTTCATCATATGAGGAAACAACACATCCTCCCACACACACCAACACACAACTCAGACAAAAAGTACAGATTGCACACAGAAAATGTATCGATATGATGACTTTGATCAAAAGGAAGACACATAGAGCACGAAATGGGGTAGAAGGATGGGAAACATTGAATTTGACTTACATTATTGTTGAGTTGTGATGATAGGTTACCAACCCGTCCTTGCTCTCTCTCCAGCTCTCTCTTGAGTCTTCTGATCTCTACTGCTGCTCTGTCCTCAGCCTGGGTCAAGAGAGGGTCAAGAGAGGGTCAAGAAGCAAAAGTAGAAAAGAATACCTTTTCATCATTTTAATAATAATAATAATACCTGATATGCTTGAGCACTCTTATGCTCACAACATTTGTTATTGGTTTATCTTTCCATAAGTTCTAATGTCATGAAAAGACTGAATTTCAGTAATTGGTATGAGCAATTCATAAAATGTCCTGCCCTGAATGTGCACATCTTTTAATTCTCAATTTCTAATATTCGGCAATATATATTAAATAACTAATGATTTAGACATGGTTTTGATGATCTTACAAAGCCTTTATATTTGATCTACCTATTCAACGACTTTAAATTTTTGTAGTCAAGTGATTTATGCACTTGACTTGAAATTTTCAGGGAGTGGTTCGATCCCTGACACGGCACTAATGTCCTTTGGCAAGGCAGTAATCTACATTTGCCACTCAATACCCAAGAGAGAAATGGGGACCCGGTAGGATGACAAAAGCATCTGTGTTAGTAATTGCCATATGTCCTCACAGTGACTATATGGTAGGAATACTCCCCAGGGAGTGGAGATGGTGCACATTGTGTGTGAATGAATCTGATGACAGGAATAATATCTGTAAAGCGCATAAAGAGATTATTCCGTATTAAGCACTATATAAATCCGTATGTGCAAATGAGAGTCATGGTTTTTATTGAAGATGATTTCCAGTAAGTTTTTATTTTATTTTACTGGTTCAAACAATAAATTTACTGCAGGATAAACAATCCAGAATGAATTATAGCAATGTTCTCTCGACATACGGTGCCCACACTAGAGCTCAAGATTAGCTTTAAGAAAGAGTCAAAGTGTTCTAAGCACGTTTCTTACCGTTGAGTAGAGTGATGAGGAGGTAGAGACGAGGGACAGTGAAGATCCGTTAAGTTCCTCAGCGCCATCGTTACTCAACCCACTCATGCTGAGAGCAGCGCGCTGACGTTCATCCAGCGACACAGAACCATTACGCCCTCTGTTGGTGAAGGGTTGAGTGAAGGCATTGGCAGACATACTATTGGAACGGACCATTGAGGTAGTAGAACTGAAGGTTAAACCCAAAGAAAACAAACCAAGAAAACAAAGTAAATAAATAATAATGTAATTAATTACCAACAATAACAAAAATAATGGGTACCATGTGTAAAGATTCAAGATTCAAGATTCAAGATTTTATTGTCCATAATATAATACAGAAATTTGTTTTTCATTGGTATAACATGTAATACATAAAACATAAGACAAAAACATGGTCTAACACAATGAACAAAAAGAAGAATATGCTTTATCTAGAGATATATTGTATGTAAAAAAACTTTTATTTGCTTCCATCAAATTAAAGCTAACATTTATTGTCAATTCATTGCCAATATCTATCATAGCCATTTCTTGGCAAGGCATATATGTCCATTAAAAAGAAATAAATTCATTTTTTTATTTACTTTACAGCGTTGGATGTACATTCACATTTTTAATGAAAATTTTTGGACTTGGAACTGACTGATTACCGTAACTATACATCAATTATATGTCATATAATCATGCAGGTTATACACATGAACTTAAAAAGAATTACCAGTGTTCCTTCTCCCACTTACATAAAGACAGAAGTAAGAAGCGTATGACACTGCTCTGGTGACATTCACTTTGGGGTCAATGTCTTACACTACTTGCCCCTTGACCCCCCACGCTATCTAATTCTCACACTAAACCTAATATAGAGCCTGATTATAACCCCAAACTTAACCTTATACCTTGACCAACATCAAGCATAGAGCAAGTGAGCAATATCAGCAGAGTAAATGTCAGACCAGGGGGTGTTTCACAAAGATCCTAGGTTGAACCTATCTCTAAGTTGGACTTTACAATTATGGAAAGCCATTAGCATCCTTGAACAAATTTTGTAAAAGTTATTTTAAAAGGCATACAATTTTCTATGATCATGGAGATTTCTTGTTCTTGATGTGGAGCTTATGAAAAGTCTAAAATTCTTGAATTTTTGCTTTTGAATACATTTCATCATGACGCTACAAATGGCTCTCCATAAGATTTGAGTCCAACTTAGAGTTAAGTTCGACTTTGAATCTTTGTGACACACCCCCCTGCAGGAGGAAAGACACTTACCTGATGGCTGAGGATGCAGCCGGGAAGTAGCCAATGGGAGGTTGAGAGACAGTAGACCCTGTCGGTGAGATCTGCCCGCTCTTCTCGCCTGACAGCAATCCAAAGTTCCCTGCCCTGAGCCAAGCCATATCCTCCAGGTCCTTCTCAGTAAGTCCCTGGTTTGTCCTGTGAGACTTCTCTGAGAAGGCAGACCTAGTGCTGTTACTTCGCATGACTGATGCCGAGGGGTGGGGCTGGGTGGGGCCGTAGCGCTCACTGGCAGCGTGGCTGGAGATGCTCATTGCGCTGGATGTGTTGGACTCGATCGACTCCATGCTGTCCGACTGCTTCATGCTGGTTGCGTTGGCACGGTTATTGTTGCTACGTAGATATGGAGAGTTGATGCCAGCCGTATGGAGGGAAGAGATGCCACCGATATTTATAGAGGCATAACCGTCGCTGACATAACCGCTGTATCTTGGAGGAGAGTCTGAGAATGGTGAGGTTTTTAACAAGCTATCGTTGAGTGAAGCGTTCTGTGAGCGTCTTCGCATACTTTGAGGACTAGTTATGTAAGACATACTGTGTTCACTGTCGCTCATTGTACCATGCCTATTGCTCATGTCTAGGACTGTATTATCTTTGCAGAATTGTGCGTGCGGGTTGGTTATGATAGTGTCTTCGATTCCTGAGTCGCGAGTTCCTCTTCCGAACAAATTCTTAAGAGCTTGTGACTTGCTCTTGGCGTCTATTTGGCCGGATGATGAACCACTCTTCAGTTCTTGCATGATGTGCCGAGCAATCTGGCCATGAGTCTTTATCTGGCTGCGTTTGAGGGAGCCATAACGTAGTCCTTCCCCTGGAGATTGAATCCCTGAGCCATCCAGTTTTCCAGGACTAGTAACCTTTGAGCTCCTGCCACCTGTTCCCTCACCTCTTGGTGATTTATCACTAGTCCTCATGTAATGTGACTCAGAGCTGCGAGGCGAACGCTGCCGTTCAGAACTAAGACTCTCCGAAGCAGACAGTGATCCTTCAAGACTAGCCTTTCCCGATCTTGGTAGGCTTCCTGTCCTGATATTTGTAGGCCTTTGCTGGCCATTACCACCAATCCTACTACCGTTAGACCCAGGAGTTCTTTGTCCAGGTGCATGCTGAACTGGTTGTCTCCTATATCCAAACCCAAACTGGGCGTTTCCAGTCCTGTGGGCTTCAGCCCCATTCCCTCTTTGGACAATCCCTTGTCCATTCCTAGGGTCATTCCTAGGGTCTTTCCTCTCTGCGCCAGGGTTACCTGTCACTGTTCCAATCCGTCCTCCAGGTGACACTCGCATCAGGAAGTTGGGGTCACGCCCAAACTGCTGCCTATGCTTGACCTGTAACCTATCCAAGCTTCTCTGCCAGCTAGGAGGACCACCCTGAGGTGGGTGGGCACCCGACGACGCCCCTTGAGCCTGACCCCTAGGTGGCTCTCCAGACCGATTACCACCTCGTGCTCCCCCTCCTTCTTTCTCTCCCCCTCCTTCTGTGACAGTTCTCGCCTTCCCCTGTCTTCCTTTCCCATTGCTTTCCTCCATCTTACCGTCCTTTGACGTATGTTTCGACCGATTCACCTTGCTGCTGGCTCCACCGTCTCCATTCTTCTTCTCGCGCCGAGGCGACGAAGATTTTCGGTGGGCATTTTTATCAGTGGCTGCCTTGACAAGGGAGAGACTGTCTAGCGAGATGGGTTCTCCACAAAGCTCAAGATTCTTGGAGGAGTCACAGGAGTTTCTGGATGAGCCGGTCACGTTATCGTCCGTGCTGATCTCAGCTATAGTGTCACTTATTCCGCTGGAGATGGAGCTGCTATCATCCAAGCTGAAAGGAATCACACAAAAAGAAAATGTTTCATTAAGATATCAAAAAGACATTCGGGATGAGTATTTAAGTCAAAGAAATGACTTAAGAAATGCCTTTTTCAGCCAACAGTGAGCTATCAAACTATACATATAACAAAGGTATTGATTTTAAAACAAATGAACACATAAAAACTTGAATTAGAAATCAGACATCATTTTTACTAGATAAATAATTCCAAATGAAACATCATCTATTCTTTCAAAAAACATAATTTTCCCCATTCACAATGGTAAATCATTCATATCATTTCTATAAGAAGTAGCAATGCAGAAGTAATGATGAATGAACAAAAATATAAATATTTAGTGAGACAGTGTAATGGGAAGCACAGGCATTTTAAATGTTATCTCACAGTCATGTAAGATATGTTTGCTGGTGAAACTTTGTTCAACCTCCTACAATATCCTAGTTATTTTTGCCCCACTTTAAATCAACCAGTTCTTCTATTTGTGTCAGAAATCCATTTAAATTAAGCTTTAAACAGTTAAATAAATTATATTTCAAATAATTGGCTTATATTTGTTTTTAGATTTTCTAGGAGTCAAAATGGGAGAATACAGTGTGAAGATGTATTTGATATGATTCATGAATATAAACCTGTTGGAATTGATGAGTTCCCACAGGACTCTATTAAAACAATGGACTTACATCATAAAATAACTTTATGACTAGCTTGGGACCTAAGTGGGGAAGGAAAGCAGGCTAGCTGTATACCTATCAGCTGTTATATTCATGTTTTGATGAAAGAATTATGGAAGATTTATCAGTTTATATAAGGAAAAAAACACGAAGTATATTTCAACCAAAACAACTTCGAAGGTCGCTGGCATTAAATTTATGAAAGGAAATAACTATTTCTGCACATTTTTTATAAAGGAAAGACCAAGTTTATTCTGACCTGCATGAAGAAACAGTGCAATTCATCTCCTGGTGCTATATGAACATTAATGTTCTTTAGAATATTGGTGGTTCAAAGGAAATGTAATGATGTTTGTTGTGGGTGTGGTTGTGGGGGGAGGGGGAGGGGGAGGGAATATTGTTGAAAGTAACATATACTTATGATGGAAGCAATCTATTATTTGTGTATACCAGTATTTTGGATTTAGACACATTTTGAAGAATATATACTGTCCCTTTGCCTCAAATTCATGATATTAAAATATATTTAAAGGTTAAAGGTAATACAAAGTTTTGGGAAATTTTGAAAATTGGGTGGATAGTGAATCTTTACAATTTTGATATATTTGGATGCCCCTGTGGATGTATTATAAGCACTAAAAAAAATAGCCCCTAAAACACTTCTGTTTTCGAGAAAAATTGAATATAACAATTTACCGGTGCTCCCGGTAAATATTGATAAATTTCAAATAGCGCCTATGGCCGGATACAATCGTAGCTGCGACCATGAAAATCTCAGAATATGTAGTTGGGATATAAAATTTCCAAACGAGAATAGCTAATCGGTCGATTTCAGTCAAGAAACATTGTTTCATTTGCTAAATTAATATCTTGACCTTGAGAGGGAGCTATACCACATAAAGAGTTTATTATTTACAATTTCATAACTAGACTCGATTTCAACCGCGACCACGATCAATGTATATTGTAGGATCGCATATGCTTCCAATATGTTTATTTGAACCAAATTCATAACCCCATACCAAAACTTTGTAATACCTTTAAACTATAGATTTCTTGAATCCATCTAGGCCTAAAATTTTGTACACCTGTTATTTATCTGATTGAGGCAGCTTAATACATGTTTTGAATTCATATGTTTTTTTTTTTATTCCTTTGCTTTGCTTTGTTTTTTTTGTTTTTTTGTTTTTGTTTGTTTTTGCTTACTTAAAGCAGGCAGCTTACACAATTTTGGAAAATATGGACATTTAAATTGAATGATATGATATGTTTCCTTTTACTTCTATTTTTCATTTTTTTCTTGGGTTGGGTGCTAAAATTGCTACATAAGCTTCACCTTTGGGTATTGAAGGATCATGCTGTGGTGTTACTATAAAGCTATGGTGAAACAACAATAAACATGCTACTGCTAGATTGACAGTGCTCGTAAGAATCATAGCTGGACTATACCCAGCAATCCTTCAAATATGACTTGCTGCGTTACTCATTCAAAAATTAATCTTTATCCTGTTTTCCTAACAAAGTCCTGAATATGACATTTTACAACCCTCGAGGGAGCTGCATCAGACAGTTTTAACAAAGAACAGGCTTATATTTGTTGTGACTCAGGGTTTTTATGTTTTTAAAATACTTATTCATTCATGTCTGTCATAACGTGTTTCACTATATGGCTGGTCAAGCTTGATCCAAACAAAGTCTACTTCTTTCCTTTTCTATATCTCTTTATATTCCTCTATTTCTTTCTCAGGAGTTTTTTCATCATTAAAAATGAACACAATGCTCTTAAATGCTCTTGAGCACTTTTTCTATAGGATGGAACAATTATAAATATTTTGATCTCATGTACAATTAGACAGTGGAATTTTTGTTAAAGTCCCAAACAATTACTTCAAAAGTAATAGTTATTAGATGTCCTTGTACTTGGTGGTCCACACAAGTCTGAGTTTACAGACAGCTTAGCATCTAAAGTCAACTGAACGCGCTACTAGCTCACTGCTCGGGGAATAGTCACATTTCCCTCACCGTACGTCATCGCATTGGAAAGGTCAATATTATGCAGGTCAGGTAGGGGCGTGCCAAGGAGACTACAATCTTGTTTGGAAAAGTCATTTAGACAGTATGAATGAAAATAGACAAATGTTAGTATTATGAAACAATAATGCATGATGTTTAGGTGAAGTGTGCAGTCTACTGGCTTTGACTGTAATTTCCAAAAAGATTTAAAATCGATTGAACTAATTGCTAACAGGAGCCAGGTCATTCCTGTATTAAGTTTATTGGAATGACAGATAGAAAGGTTGTGACCTCTTCAAGCTCATGATATGGAAAAGAAAAATGTTCTTAGTATTAATTTTGTAGAATACTCATAAAAAGGCTATATGAATTAATGGTATTTTTATGGAATTTCAAATAAGATTTTCAGCATGCCAAGAATTTAGGTTTGAAAAGAACAAGAAACAGAGTTCAACTACCAAATATGTGTACTCTTAGGGTGATGAATTATAACTCAATTCTACAAAGAATTTCAAATTTCATTGCCAAGGGGATACAATTCTCTGAAAGCAGCCAGCGTTTATTCCTCCTTGTTTTGGCGATTGGTCATTCTCTTTAGTTTTCCTTTTGTCCCTCTGGCTTTCGCCACTGACGGTCATTTAAACGGGTCACTTCAAATGTCAGATTAAATCAAGGTATCGATTCAGTACGTGTTGCAACTAAAGACAAACTTGGATGAATAGCAATAATAGTTAGATTCACACAGCAGTCTATAGAGATTAGTTCCTGGTTATAGTTAGGTTCACACAGCAGTCTATAGAGATTAGTTCCTGGTTATAGTTAGGTTCACACAGCAGTCTATAGAGATTAGTTCCTGGTTATAGTTAGGTTCACACAGCAGTCTATAGAGATTAGCTCCTGGTTATAGTTAGGTTCACACAGCAGTCTATAGAGATTAGTTCCTGGTTATAGTTAGGTTCACACAGCAGTCTATAGAGATTAGCTCCTGGTTATAGTTAGGTTCACACAGCAGTCTATAGAGATTAGCTCCTGGTTATAGTTAGGTTCACACAGCAGTCTATAGAGATTAGCTCCTGGTTATCTTGTAGTTAACCAACTGCCTACAGAATGGGATGACTATGGGAATCAAGGAAAGCCAGTAGTCAATGGGTTAAGGTCCTTATAGATGCAGAATGGGCACATTCATGGTTTGAGATACTTTGGCCCAAATTCACAAAGGAGGTTTGAGGCGTTTCAACGTCAAAACGCATCATATGACGCCCATAAACCTAGGATTGTTGACACACCTCCTTTGTGAATTTGGGCCTTTAAGTGTACTTGAAGTTTTAAACCACAAATAATTGTATGATTAACAAAAAGTATAAATAGTTGGGTGCCCTCACTATCGTTATGTACTGTGTGGATACAATTAACTCCAATGTTTTACCAACTTCTAGTTACAACGGATACTAGTCAGCTTGTGGTTGAAACCTCAAGCAGTCATTGCTTTGGTCCTGTATGAACCTTCAAGTGGGCTGTTGGTTATAAATTGAGCTTTTGCCAACTTAACAGTTTACCTCTAGCACTTGTTGTTTTGTGTCGTGTGAACCCATATCATTGACAGTTGGTCATTGTTTAAAACTCTGAAACGTAAAGTTTGAAACTACGGTAGCGCTGTGCAAACATAGCTAGTATCAACTGCACAAGGTATATGCGATAACAAGTTAGTACAAAGCAAAGAAAGTGGGTCACTGGTGAAATGACAGTCACCTGTGGAAAGCAAGAAGGTTGATATCTCAAAACATACAAGTTTACACTATTCTGGCTTTTATCGGAGGGGAAACAAACAATCTTGCCTATTTCCTTCAAAGGTTCCAAGTAAACATGATTTGAACTTTTGAAAGAAATACCGAAGGAAAAAATACTCTTCCTTTTTTAAACATCATGAGTGGGAGCTGGCATTAAGTATTTCCAGATAAATATCCAATATTTCCTGTAAAACAACTTCTGACAAATAACTTGGTATTGGTTGATCTACTACACTGTGAAAAGGTTGGGCAATATTTTCCAACACTTTGCCCAATGTTGTGCCAATAGTCAACCCAACCATCTATTGGGCAATATTTTTGTATTTTGCTCAACAGCTGGTCCAGATTTTTCCAACCAATGGGCTACCATAGTCTGGCAGTTGAAGGGTGTTATCTTTGCCCAAATTTTAAGAAAGCTATTTAGGAGAGATTTGAAAGAAGGACTGAGGATGAGCGAGTAGGAGAGGGACCACCAGCACCATTTTACCAAAACAAAACTTTAAACCTTTGCTTTTTGTGACATTAAA